CTGAGGAATTCACACTGTTGTGGCTGGAGGACTTTGGGAACTGGGGTTTTAGTCTGGGAAATTTCTTGCTAGAGGTTGTAGCTAATAAACATAGCTGGAGTGAATTTGCATGGTCTCTTGGAGTTCCTTGGGCTAGGCCTGACATCAATCTTCCCTTTTGTTCCTCCCATGCGGTTCCGGTGAGCTAAGAAAATGCTCATCTCCCTGAGCTTGGCCTTCATAATTCCATTCCATCACAGTTAGCTCCGTAATTGCTACTGTGACCACAAACTCCTGGGTTGATCTAGATTCTACATCACATGAGGACAAACCCAGCTGCTTCCGAGAGCCCAACTTCAACCTGGGGTCTCACATCCGATTATCTGCATCACAGAGCTTCTAAATGCCACAGGGCATTTCCCAAAATATACAAAACAGGTTTGACTTTTTTAAAAAAACAACACACCATAAACATCATATACCTTTGAGTCCAGCAAATAATTATAAGGCATAAAAATGATGTCTGCTTGCTGTTTCAGATTCCGAGAAAGATAATAGGGGCAAACTCTGTTTAAAGAGAAATGAAAAAAAAAATTACACAACGTCCTTCAGGTTAAATTGCTTTCAATAAAGCTTTATCGTGTCTATCAAGAATCACTTGCCACCTTTTTAATAAGTTGATCTTAAAAGCAGATGATCTAGTATGCTTATATCTTAATTGATATATATCAAAGAAAATACAAAAAAGGAAGAAGAATTAAAGGAAGGAACTTTATAAAGTTGGCAGAAAGAGAGATTATTTATTACATTGTAATTTCTCAGTCACAGTTGTATCACTCACTGAAAAAAATACATGTTTACTTAATCAGCTATGTCTCAAAAACAGATTGGTCATGAGACAGGATACAGGTAGTCCTCACTTAACAACTATTTGTTCAGCGACCATTCAAAGTTACAACGGTGCTGAACGAATGATGGTTATGGCCGGTCCTCAAAGTTACGGCCGTTGCAGCGCCCCTGTGATCATGTCATCAAAATTTACAACCGCAGTGTGTGCTTCAATTCCCCCCACCCACCTATTTCCCCCTGAACTCTGCCCTTTTGGCTGCTCTGAACTCTACCACCTACCCCTGCCGCCCCCAGCTGACCTTTGCTGTCTTCTTCCTCCTGTTGCTGCCAAGGCATGCCCAGCCAAGGCAGCTGCTGGCTGTTTGCAAGGCCCTCGTATGGCCTCCCCATGGCCTCTATGAACCCTTGTGAGGCCACACAGAGGCCTCACGAGGCTTCAGGGAGGCCGTTTGAGGCCATGCGAAGACCTTGCGAGGCTTTGCGGAGGCCGTATGAAGGCCTTGCAAAGGGTCAGTAGCTGCCTTGGCCAGGCACACCTCATCAGCAGCAGGAGGAAGATGATGAAGATCAGCTGGGGGTGGTGAGGGACGGCAGAAGTAGGCAGCAGTTAAAGAGTGAAGGGTGGCCATTAGGGCAGAGATGGGGGGAGACATGTGGGTGGGGGGAGTTGAAGCGGAAACGAGCACGACAGGGCAGGAGAAGCATGTGGTCTCTGCCTAAAGATGGCACAGTACCAGCCTAACAACCGCAACTGGAACTACTGGAACTGCCATTGCTAAGTAGTGTGGGCACATGATGTTTCGCCTAATGACCACATCACTTAGCAACAGAAATTCCAGTCCCAATTCGGGTCATTAAATGAGGACTACCTGTACAAGGATTTTCACTCAATCTCCCACCTAATCACTTCAGGAACAAGAGCTACAGCAATATAAATAAATGAAAAGCTGAATGCATTTATTGAACAATTAGCCATAGATGTCTTGGGCATAAAGACTCAGGTGTGACATTATCAAGGCACAATAAAGTAACAGATTAGCCATAATCTAATCCTTCTAGAATGACTAGGTCCTTCTAAGAGCTACAGGTAGTCCTCAGGTTACAATGGCAATTGGGACCGGAATTTCCATCACTAAGTGATGCAGTCATAAAGCACAATGTCACGTGACTCCATTGCTTAGTGACGACATTCCCATTGCTGTTGTTAAGTGAGGACTGCACGGATCATTACGTGAGGACCGGTGAGAAGAGGTATGAATCCAGGCAAGCAGGCGCCACAGCTAGGCAGTATGGAGTGCGAGTGAGTGGGCAGGTGCCACAGGTGGGCACTTCGGAGTACAGGTGAGCGGGTGCTGCAGGCAGGCATTATGGAGCGTGAATGGGTGCTGCAGCCAGGTGTTATAGAGTGCGGCAGTGTGAGTGGGTACTGCAGGCAGGCAGTGGCCACGGGCGGATGGTACAGAATATGGGCAGGTGCCGCAGGTAGGTGCTATGGAGCATGGGCAGGCGGGCAAAAAAGCAATGGGAGGAAAAGCAACTTGCAACCTCTTGCTGGCTTCCCCATTGACTTTGCTTGTGCAAAGCCAGCAGAGAAGGTTGCAAATTGCAATCACGTTACTGTGGGACACTGCAACCATTGTAATTGCGAGCTGGTTGCCAACGGCCTGAATTGCAATCACGTGACCATGAGGATGCTGCAACAGCCATAACTTCAAGAACCGACTGTAAGTTTCCTCATTCAGTGCTGTCATAACTTCGAATGGTTGCTAACTGAGGATTACCTGTATTGCTATTAATGTCTGCTCATAGAAAGCTAGTTCAAAAACCTGTATAACATAATGGATGAACAAATGCTACAAGCCAGGATATCCAACTTGTGGCTTGGCCACAAATTCATTAGGCACTATTAAACCAAAACAAGTACCACTTTCCAGCTGCAGGCCTATTCCAGCACTCTTTTTTAATATTGAAATAATGCTGCCCCTTATAATTCAGGAGACTTCCATTTTAGTCTACAACTGTGGATAACAAAACTATGGATAATGAGGTCTTGAGTCTGTAGAAAGGGGAAGGGCTAGATCCTGAAACCCTGGAAAAGCAGGGAAAAAGCACTGGGAAAAAGGGCTGAAAGGGCTGAGAAGATTGGTGGGTATACAATAGGACAGTGTTTCTCAGCCTCAAAACTTTAAGATGTGTGGGCATTCACACCCCAACTTCGCCAACAACAATATTGAATTTTTCGATTTCGAATGGGAGTTTAAAGAAAAAGATGGGGGGGCGCGGG